TGGTCTTGAAGGAGTTTGTGATTGTCTTGAGGAAGCTTTTCATTGTGTGCCCCATCACTGCCACCACTGAGTGGGGCTGTAGTCCTCTTGTTTCCCTCCCCCAAGGGAGGACACATGCTTCCGAAGCATCAGAAGTGAGTAGGGGGACACACTCTTTCTTAACCAAGTTTTCTCGATCGCAGATCTTCAAGTCAGCCTACGGGTATACAACTGCTAAACAACAGCCAGCATCTTGCCTTATGCTACAATTGGGATAAATCCATTGAAAATGATAAAGTCCTGTGCAGACAGACAGATCCCTACTGACAACCATCTTACACAGGCTCAGGAAGACAACAGCATGTTTTTATTGGAAGGGATGTCAACCCTGTAGCAAACATTTTTAAACCTTGTACTTCCCCATCCTGTTGGCTGTGCTTGTGTGAGGGGTATGTCTGTGCACATGTGTGTCTTTGGGGGTGGTAAGTCTCTCTGGCTTTTCAAGAAACCTGAAAGGTTTTGGATTCCTTTTGGTGCAAAGTAGGGGAGACTTTGGGAAATCTCCAACTTCTGTGGGATAGAAAAATCTTCTCGTCTTACCCCAGTGTGCAGCCCCCCATGGCAGAACACACTAAAGCAAGGGATGAACAGCTGTTAGCAGCATCAGCCCCTACCACTGAAGGTGTTTGTTTTAGCCTTCAGTCTATTCTGGTTAGATAATCCTCTTGGAAGATCCTCTCCCTCTCTCCTGACCGTGAAATGGCCCTGTTCGGGGTTCAGGAGAGAAGTTGTCTGATACTAAAGCAATATTTTTAGAAGAGCTTCGCTTTCCAATTGCTTATACAGGTAAATTTGTGTTGACACAAGAAATCTTGAGCTCCTTCTTGTCGGAAAGGTGTTTAATTGTTTCTGGCAGAATTCGGATTCAACATCTGTTTCCTGGGGAAGGACACGTGAGATCATCGATCTCTGACAGGCCCAGCTTTAGGGAAGAGTTCTCCCTTTCGTAATAGGAAGCTTGAGGACCCATCAACCTACAAGTTCTTTATTGGTGAAGAATATAAAGGAGCCTTGAATGTGGAGGTAAGCTTGATTTTTATTTTATTTTTTTGAGTCCACCTGGAGGGAAGAAACCCCTCTCTAATGACAGAGGGAGGCTTGACTTGGGGAATGACCCAGGTAATAACTTGCCAACTATGGTAACATGATGGCAAGCGGCTGAAAACTTCTCCCAATGAAGAGTGCAGGAGTTTCACCCATGACTTCAAAGATGGAAGGCTCAAGTTTTAAAGGCCTGATCCAAAAATGCCTCAAAAGCAGAGAGAGACTTTTCATCGTCTTCACTGGGCTTTGAATCCAGATCCCTAAAGTGCTTATCAGTGGAGTGTGACTGACAACAGGGAAGGGGTTAAAACATGTGCCAATGATTAAATGCAATTACTAATACCATACAGAGGTCATGATTGATGCCTTGTCCCTGAAATGAGACAACAGAAAAGCAGTGATACCTGGTACTGACCGGCTCTGCTAGGTGAATCCTTAAAGGAACAAACAATACAGATGTTTGCCCCAGATGTATTGAGAAAAGGCATGACACCTGCCAGTAGCACAGCACTTCCAACTACCTTGACTTCCAGGGGATCTGCAAAAGATTTTAAAAACTTGTGCTGGGAACTTTTTGCTCCTTTCTGATGGGTAAGGAGAATCTGAAAGGGTTTTGTAGTTCCCCTCATTTCTGTTTCTACCTCAGAAATATTAGGAATGCCTCATCTTGCTTATCTTCTTGCTGGGGGTCTCTAGAGATGTCTTCTGTTTGTAAGCTTTCATACCTTAAACTCAGTAGGAGATGGTTTATATGTTAAGGTGTTAATGCTTTTTCCCCTTCCCTACCATCTTCCAAAACGTTAGAGGGCATTTAGGCTAAACAGGCATTGGGCTGTTTTTCCTTTTCCTTTGACTGGAAACCCCTTTGTGTCTCAGATCCTGATTCAGAAACGTATATAAGTGCGCGCACACAAGCTTCCCCCAGTCAGCAAGGCATCAGCATGTGCTTAGTGGCATGTTACTGAATCTGGGCCTTCACTGCTGAACTTTCACTCTTGGTTTTTATTGCAAGGCCATTGCACTAGTTCTCCAGTCACCAAAGTCTCTTCCAGACTAGACTGGATTTGACCTTTTGAGAACTTCTTCTGAGGGTTAGGGGAGGGGGTCATCAAAAGATTAGCTCTCACACTGCACTTGAAACTCTTGTTCATCACTCACTGGATACTCATGCAAAAAAAAAATAATTTGGAAAGTCATCCCAAGGGTCAACAAGTCTGTTGCCTTCAAAGCAAACTGAATTCCAGAATGGAGCCAATTGGTGGTGGGAGGAACAGGTTGGGCCAGTAGAAAAAAATACAAGGTGTAGAGCAAGGAAGTCTTGAGTTAGGACTCCTGGATCTGTCAGTGACTCCTTGAAGCAAATTCTTTCTTTCTTAGACCTGGCCTCATTTAAAAAATCTACTTCAGGATGAATTTGAGGACTGATCGCTTGTAAAACACTGCCAGGCCCAAGTATCACTGCATTCACGGTGCCTTCCACCAGAGGGTCTCAAGACTTGGTAAAAATCTGAGCTGAACCATACAGCCTTCTCTGCCACCCAACCCACACACCAGGAGATGGATAAAGTGTTGTTATCACCATTTTACAGATGGGGAAACAAACACTGAGCTGGCCACTTTTTAGGTGGTCTTTGGGTGTAGTATGATGATAAATGAAACCAGCCTGCAATGGACAGTACTAGCAGCTTTCCTTTCTGTGCTGTGCCAGATATTTTAGCAAATGCCTATGCAACAAAGCTATCTTGCACCCCAGTTTGAAGTTTGGGTGCATCTGATTTTACCCTGGTGAAAAATGCAAGAAGGGAACTTCCTTGCATGATTCCAATATTGTCCCTTCATGGAAAACAAGGGTGTGAAGGGACCTCAGGAGGTCACCTCTAGTCCATCCCCCTGCTCAAAGCAGGACCAGCCCCAACTACATCATCCTGGCCAGGGCTTTGTCAAGCTGGACCTTTAAAAGCCTCCAAGGATGGAGAGTCCACCCCCTCTCTAGGTAACCCATTCCAGTGCTTCACCACCCTCCTAGCGAGAGAGGTTTTTCTCCAAATTAACTTCCCTTGCTGCAACTTCCCATCCTGACTGGAATTAATAGGGATGGAGAATGTGAACAAACTTCACCCAACTCTTTTTCAAACCCTGATGGATACCAAGGTGCAGTTTGGTTTGGCTACTTTATGTTAACTGAATTGTTTCATCACTACTTACTTGCCTGCTCACAAAGGAAATATATTTTAAGGCCAGGGTCTTGCAAAGCATTGAGTAGCGGTATATGGCATAAGGCATCATGAAACTCCTCATTGCCTAAGTGTGCACCTTCCCTATTCTCTTCCTATTGCTGTATTGAGATGAACAGATTCATGGCTACACAACAGGATGACTTAATTTCTAGCTGCAGAAAATCTGAACCCCAGATGAGTACTGTATTTCGTGATATAAGTTCCAGTATAGATAGACACCCAATCCGATCTACAGCTGAGGAAAGGATAAGCTTCTTCGATTTAATGTTGTAAGAAATGGAAAGATTATGGAAACTCTGTGCCTCTGCAGAAAATTGGCTTCAGCCTCCTCTCCTGGATGCTGCAGATGGAAGGGTCCCGGTAGGCCAAAGCAAGAGCAAAGCAGAGAGAGAAGAGGAAGGAAAAGCAGGGAAGTGGGGTGGCAGATCTGCACTCTCTCAAAAAAAAAAAACCTGGCAACACATGCAGACAAAACAAAAAGCAGAGGAGAGTGGAAAAGAGAAACGGAGAGTCTGAAAAATGAATAGTGATGGAAAGGTCCAGGGTGAGAGGAGCTATAAAGAGGAGGCTCGCCCCAGGATCTCGTGTGACTTACACAATCTGTTTAACAGCGATCGGTCATGTTCTTTCCCTGACACTAGCTGCAGCAGCCGCTCTATGCTGACAGGCAGCTGGGATAAATGATTACTGACATATGCTAATAGGACAGACTTAGGCAGGGCGTAAGAGGAATACATCAAGGTGTTGCAAAACACATTTCTTGGTCAAAACTCTCCAACTTGTTCAAGTACATTAGCTTCAGGGAACTGCAAATCCTCGGCGTTGTTTAAACTGCAGTTAAAAATCAACAGAGTGGCGAAAAATAACCCCCAAACAATGGGCCTGCTCAGAAGGCTGAGAGGTTCTTTGCAGTGGTATCTATCAATGCCAGATGTGATATATATATATATTTTTTGGCCATGCAAACTCCCCACAGGTCTTGGATGCTCTTGGTTTTTCTGCTGTTTCCCCGCCCCCGCCTCAGCCCAGCTCTCTTTTTCCCTTCCTCTGTAAAATGCCCCCTGGCTCTTTACTTGCAGCTTCCCTGTATTTTGCACCACAAACAAAGATACCAGAATTCAAACAAGTGCCCTAGAGTACAACAGGACGCACAGATTAATACCGCAAGATGTTCAGATCCCATGCTAGAACGTGCAATCTTAAGCTTGACTCTGATCTGGATCAATTTAGGTAAGTGTCATGTTCCTGAACAGACCCTCCGTTCAATCTCGAGGAAAATATTGTCAACCAGACAGTTTAGAGAAATGCCGAGAGTGCAGGTTTTCTGGAAGTCTTTAATTCTCAGGGTAGAAATACTTCTTGAACCAAATTAACCCAGCATGGCATGAATTATTGATGGTGCAAACCAACAAGATGGCCTGCTTTGTAAACGGCCATTTTCTCTATAGTAATTCATGACCATTGCAGAAACATCTCTTGCACTTTTTGAGCATCCTAACTTCAAGAGATGATGCTAGTACTAAAGATGCACTCATCTGGTAAGGCCGTTTAAAATGCCCACCTCGGTGATATGATGATTAAAAACCTTCCATCTGGGTTATCTGCTCTTGTTGGGTTTTTTTTAAGCTCCAAGTATTGCATGCGTGTCTATTGTGAACTTTAACTACGCGTCATACGCACCTTCTGAAACTGGGGCAGGTGCCACAGGGAGTCCACTTTCGCAGGTGGTGGGTGCTTCCTGAGAAGGGTGGTACGCGTCTCGCACACTTTCTTCTTTTGCAACTAAAGGCAAAGATGTGTCAAATAACCATGGAAAAAACAAGCCAGCTGTACTGAATGGCTATCGTGTAGGATGAGCTACCACCAAGATGCAGTGGCAATTTTGGAACTTTTTCATGAGAGAATGATCATTGTAGGAATCGCAGCCATTCCCTGATAACAAATCCTTTTTTGGCATGATGGCTTTTAGGGGCAGTCACTGAATACAGGTGATACTGGGCACATCTATATGTGAAATTAGTGCACTGCAATAAACCCTGGTGCACACAGTGCCGGAGCGTATTGCTTCTGGGCACCATGTTTACACGTGCACCTGGGACCACACCATGTTGAGCTGGGTTGGAGCAGCCTCGGCTGGCGGTGGGCACAGGAGGGGGAGTCAGCTTGCCAGCCTGAGGTTGCTCCGACCTGGCTCAACATGCTGTGGAGGAGCTGGCTGGGGCACAAAGGTACTCCAGTGCAGCCCCTGCACCGAAGCACCCTAATGCCCCAGCCGGCCCCATCAGCATCCACATGTGCATTGCTGTGCACTAAATAATGCTGCCACAGGATAGTACTTGTGTTGACTTATGGTGGCATTTATTAGTTTACTGTGGCCTAATAGGGCCACGTGTAGATGCAGAGACTTTTCTGCAGAGCTAATTAGGCAGCTCTGCCATAAATGTCTCGTGTAGATGCACCCACTGACATTTTTTAATTGTTCTGGGTCTTCCTAGCATAATAATTGTTGTTTTATAGGTGACATTTATTAGAGAAAATCTTGCTCAAGAGAATCTTGGGGGCTCACAGGTGCAGCAAGGTGATAAAACTAAGGGGAAGCATTGCTTTATCTGCCACTGAAGTGCCGCCACCTCTGGAGAGCCACTATGGCAGCTGTGCATAACGCAAAATGGAGAATAACCCATCTGAAACTGAATCTCGGGGGATGTAGTTCTGACCTGATCATCATGATGCTAGGAGTTGATGAGGTGTTGTGACCCCAAAAAAACGGTGTTAATGATGGCTGGTGGTTAGGACCTCTGTTTTACAATGCATCCCAAAGGGATGATGACCACCTTCAGCACAAAGTCCAAAACTCTGCTGGAGCGGTGGGTTGCGACAGACTCTGAAGGAAGAGTTCTTGCATCATTTTCCTGCAGTGTGCAGATTTTATTTATTTTTTTTTTATTTTATTTTTGACTGCCCCTCATTTAAGTACTGGGCTGACCTGGCCGTGCTTTGTTTGTAACACCCTATGGGTTCATAGCCTAAGGGACTGGAGATGCTTTTTCATAACCTAAGAGACTGGGTGTAAACATTTTTGGCTGCACCGTGAAACTCGAGGGATTCTGTGTTTCCAAAGTAGAGCCTGATAGGTAGGTTTGTGGCCCTTAATTCAACAGCAGGTGACTGTAGACTTCAGGAATTTGATAACATGGAGGGAAAGAACACAATAGGTGCTCTCCTGGATAAGAAATCAGTCATTAATAGATCTAAATGTTTTCCACCATTCTAGACTGTGCAGCCATAAAATAGCTGCTAATTAAAAACACTGTATTCTTGCACTTTAACTATAAAGCATACTTTGTAACAGCAATAATCTCATTGAAATTGGTCATTACTATATTAGCTTGACTCTTTCATGAGCCATTAACTAATAAACCAGTTGTTGGCTGCTTTTTAAATGCGAGCATAACACTGCTGGCCTTAATAGCCCTGTGTTTCACACACTAACAACTTCTCTAACTGCCGGAGTCTGACAAAGTAACACCTAGATCGAGCCTGGTGCCTTTTATTTCTTGTAAAATGGGTTGGCACATGTTTTAGGATAATCTGTGGTTAGTTTGATTGTGTTTTGGTGAAGCTGCCTAGGTGAGGAATATGATTCCTTGAAGGATCAAGATAAGGTGACTTTAAACCTGATCTGCATTGATCCTATGGCTTCTTTACACTCCTGCAAAACAGACCTTAGTAAAAAATGAGTAGTAGTAGCCCCATTCCTCTTAGCTGCTATGGGGCTTTTCAGTTACCTGGGGCTTTTCAGTTACCCAGGGCACCTTGAGGCAGAGTCTTAAAAATATTTATGCTCTTAAAAATGCAGTGCCCAGCTAAAGGGATTTATAAAAAGACCTGCATAGGTGAGGTGCTCGAGTCTATTCAGATCCAAATATGGATCCTGTTTGATCAGCTAGGGGCTGAGGCTTATTCCTCAGGCCCTACCTTGTGATGGGCAAGGGTGTACATGCCCCGCTCCTTCCAGCCAGAATCATTCATAGATTCATAGATGCCAGGGTCAGAAGGGACCTCACCAGATCATCAAGTCCGACCCCCTGCATACATCCAGCTTGGATACAGCTGTTCAATGACAGACAGCAAGGTTATGCAAGTTTAGGACCAGAAGTGATGAATATCGTATCCAAAGCGCTATTACCTTTTTTTGCTCTGCTTGCCGGGCTGCAGCTGCTGCTCTCTGTTTTTCCACCCAGACTTCTTGGTACCTGTGCTGGAGAAGGTCAAAGATGGGTGTAGAAGGCCTATAAAAACAAGACCGGGGTCAGATCCTTTCCAAGTTTAGCCCCCTTGACCAGACTTGGATTTATCTGCTACTGACGACAAAATGCAAGCAGCGAGTAAGCCACGGGTGAAGCAGCAGTTCTGAGAAACGGGAATTAATTTTGTTTGGAGGGCCCTGCAATAGTTGTTAGGTATTGCACAGGTTCTCCCTGTCCTCCAAGCCCCTAGGTACTTGGCGCTCATCATAGCCAATATAGAGCATCAGCTTTCTAGCACGTTCATCAGCTGAGGACCAGAAAGACTTGTGCCCGCAGCCTGCAAGACTGGGTTGGCCGGGTTTTCTGCAGTGCAGGTCTCTGCTATGGTGAAGGGATCACATGAACACCTCATCCTGGACCCGGCTGAAGTTGGAAGAGACCATGCTCTCTAGCTCTCTGGACTTAAGGCAACCTCGTGGGTAACCCAGGAGCTGAGGGGGAAATGATCAAAAGGCGAAGTGAGCCTTCACATCAGTATCCGAGAGCTCTGAGCCGTGAGCCTGGACCTGACAAGCCTCAAGCAGTCCTGCCTTGCATTGCACTTCAAGCTGACAACACGGTGCTAGTTGCCTGAGAATTAACAAGGGGACATAAAGAGAGTGAGGTCTTGTGACGGGAGACCCTGAGGTCTGTTATTGCTTCCCTGTACCAAGGAAGCTGAGCCAGGCTGTAGAAGGGCTGAGCTGGGGGTGATTCCAGAGCCTGGGAGGATCTCCCAGCTGTCAGAGGCAGAGGAGGACACTGATTAACCTGCATGCCTAGCTTTTTCATATTCCATCACAAAAATGACCCCTTTGTGCACAGGCTGTTAAAGCAAAACCACCTGCCTTCCTGCACTGATAGAGGGAACTGACATTTGAGCAAAGGTTTTTCCCAAAATTTTAGTCACTCGCTGACCTGAACGGCTGCCACTAGAATAGAGAGGAGACTGAATTAGATATGGGAGCTGTACAAAGATGCCATCGGGAATGAATCTCGGCATGAAGATTGTATATCTCCAATCCCTAGCATTTTAGAGTCTCTTTCAGGCTTTTTATGTGATTCCTTGGTTCATTAACAAAAGCAGCAGAAATACAAACAGAACAGGAGGTGAAGAGGTAACATTACGATAGCGCTGATTTTATGTTTTAAATTCAGGTGTAGGAAGGCATAAAGATAGTAATTTGTACAAGAGTCATGTCTATAGGCCCCACGTACAATCCACACTCCTTGGTACCAGCCATTGTACAAACACAAATAAAAGGCAGACGTTGCCCATGAGAACTTGCGGTCAAAATTGAAAAGACAAAGGGGAACAACAAGGACAGATTATTGTGACCATTTTACAGATTTACAGATGAGGAAGTGATTGAAAGGACTCGGTCAAGGCAACGCAGCGGGTCTGTGGCAGTGATGGGCGTCAAGCTCAGATCTTTGGAGCTTCAATGCAGTGTTTTTAAACGGACCTCTCCAACTCTCCAAATATATTCTGCCTCTCTCAAATTATGTTCTTATTGTTGGCAAAGGGACAGGAAACCTTTCTGACCTTCTTGTGGTATCCTGAAATGTTAAGAGGAAAAATACCTGACTTCAATACTGCAACAGCTGCAGTTATTTGATGCAGCTTTGGACCAGGTTTCAGCACAGTTGCTGCTTGCAGCTGGATAGAACGGTGACATGGCTCGGCCACGGAGGAGAGGCTGCGTGTTCGGTGTGCGTGACATGGCTTGGCACCATGCCTGTGCCATGTGGCCTAGGCAAACAGCAGTATAAAAAAGGTAAAAGTGCAGTGGCTTTTCAGCTGCTCTCCTGGCTGTCCAAACCAAGCTGGCATTGCACAACATGGCATGAGGCTAGACTCGGACCTGTGTGCATGTGTCCCCTGATGCCTTTGTGGCAGGCTTGATTTCACCAGCCACAGGGAAAGACGGGGACAGCCACAGGAGGTGCACTAAAGCAGAAAATGCCCTTGCTGCGAGGGCAGCTCGCTGGTTCATCGGCATGCTTCCACAATGTGCCTCCCCACCTCCAGCAGCAAATATTAAACTAAAAATTGGCAAGTCCAGGTAAATGAAGGGGATCTGCTGCTTAATATTTTTCCACATCCTTCTCCCCCAGCCCCTGTCCTTCTGAGGAATTCTTCCACCTCGCCAGCAACCTGTTACAGCATGTCTCTGCCTAGATCTGTAGTGTACAAAGCCTTTTGCTGTCACTAATACAACAGGAATGCTCTGTCTTCCCTGCTGCTGCAGGCCAACTGCTGGATGGCACTTACTGCAAGAAGCTAATGCCATTAGCTAGCAACCAGGGATGCTGTTGCATTCTCCTCCTATGCTGGGAGACTGTATTCTGTTGAGGGAGCACGTCCTCTGGTCTGTGCAACCAATCGTTTCTTCTTGTGCCTCTCAGTTTCCAGCAGGACTCCATCTGCAATCAGTCGCAACCAGCTTTTAAATGCCACTTGTGCCTGGAGAATTTTTTAATAGTGCAGGAGGATGCCAGCAGTGCGTATGCAAATAGTAACTCTTTTATTTCTTGTTCCTTCACCCCTGCGGTGACTTTTATTACTTAATTATTGCCCGCCACATGCTTCAGAAGAGCCTAATCTATGGTCGTGTTTTCTAATGATACTAGATGTGCAATCTAGCAATATATATCCCAGGAGGCCATTCATATCAGAAAAGACATCCTTCTACAAACCTACCATTTCATAGATCACATGCTGCAGGGCTTTTCGAGTGTTTGCTTACAAATCGGCTGCTGATTCTAATGATTCGCCAACTGGTTACTACACAGACGCGATGCTGGAGATTACACTGGCTTGGGCCTAGGTTTTCAATCTCACCCTGCCGAGGAGTTTTTATATTCTAAGCTGTTGATAAGGAATAAAAGAAACGATGCAAAACAGGTCTGGTCCCATCACGTGTCAAGCCTCCTTTATGTGCAAGATCAGGCTCCTGTGGGATTCTTGCCAGCTTCTCTGTGCACATAACTCAGGTCTGGTTAAAAGAAAACCAAATCTACACACAGTAACTTGTTTGCTTGGCTGATCCTCTTCATGCGCTACTTGGATGATCTAGCGGAAACGACAGTCCCCGGAAATATGGCTCATGTACGTTGTCATCAGAAAGTGGCTAATATAACACCAGCATAGGCATCAGATGGGTGCAGGAACAGAAACTCACTGATGGCATTTGCACTGCGGTATATAAGAAGGTTTTATTGGGATGATACTGCAACCGAGTAGTGATCCAGTCCTCTGTTACTCGACATGCCCGTGCCCCTTGGTGCTGGCTCTGATCACCATCTTTGTATCTGAATGGGATGGCTTCCTCTCCTTGCTCATGCAGGCTAGTGTCTTCCCACAGCAGCAACACTCTTCCCCATGGACTAAGTTTCTTCCCTACACTATACCTCACTTTTCTCAGCTGGGATGTAGGACCCAGGTTGAGGGAGAACTTTGTGCTGTCCGTGACTCTGTTATGCATATTTTGTCATT